GCAACCTTAATTCCTCTGCTAGCAAGCATATGCGTTAAAAGATCAATACAGAGTCTTTTTTCTTAAGACTCAGTATGGCACATCTTCTTAATCTAAAGATCAATACAGAGTCTTCTTTCTTTGGACTCAGTATGGCACATCTTCTCAATCTAAGTTCTGTACTATCCACCTTCTTACCCTACTTATCCTCTCTAGGGGGGTTTGCAGCACCCTGGTGGAGTCCTATCCATGCCGAATGTGGGGATTCTCAATGGGGGTGGGAGGGCTTACCTATAGGAATCCTGTTCCAGAGGTTCCCAAAGGTGTGGACGGAGTCGGCTAAGACTATCCACCCTCTTCCTACAGTGGAGTCCTATCCGTCCCGAGTGCGGGGTGCTTACCTAAGGGTCCCTGTTCGGGCGCCAGATGCTGGGACCTGGCATATATGGCATACTGTTCTTAAAATGTTTGGTCACCTTCTTGGCACTATGTGTTTTAACCAAGGTCACCTCTCTGAGAAAGGTTGTTTCCCCAGGTAGGGGATTTTCCCTGAAGTCAGGGAGGGGATGCCTCTCCTAGAAAGGTTGTTTCCCCAGGTAGGAATTTTTCCCTGAAGTCAGGGAGGGGATGAAACTCCTTAACTAAGTGCCAGGCGGGTAGTTAATCACTACAAACAATCATGCTTAAGCTACATAATCTTTACTCCCTGGAATGGAGATAAGAAACGCCCTAACCTTTGTAATAGAGATTGATAGGATTGGAATCAACTGGTATAAATACAGATGTAACAAGACAACAGGAGACAGAACCTAGAGAGGCAGAACCAAGAGACAGACCCGAGACACAGAACTTAGAACAAAGAACTTAGAACAGAAGAACTTCGCTGGAGAGAACATGGCAAAAGATCCTGGACAGAACCTGGCTACAGAATTTGGTTGGAGAACCTAGACAGAACCTGGCTGAAGAACCTGGCTACAGAACCTGGCGACCGAACCTGGCTGGAGAACCTAGCGAGAGAACATGGCTACAGAACCTGGCTGGAGAACCTGGAGAACATGGCTGGAGAACTTAGCAAGAGAACATGGACACAGAACTTGGCTGGAGATTGTGGCTAGAGATCCTGGCAAGGCTGCTGATCAACTGAACGCTGTCTCCGTGTCATTCCTTCTTCGCCGACTCCGTCCACACCTTTGGGGACCCCTGGATCTGCTGGGGCTGGACCCCGGCACTTCGCTGGGCCCAGCGCTCTCGTGCTGAGTAGGGCGGGGTTCGCGGAGGTGGTCTGGGGTCTACAGAACCTATTCCTGCTTGAGATCCTGGTCAGCGAAGGCAGCGGGGCGGGGGGCAGCCTGGGTGGCCCTCCCCCCGCTCCAGAGATGGGGCCGTGGAGTCGGACCCTGTGGAGAGGAGCCGCGAGGTTCCATCGGCGTCCCGCCTGCGCAGTCTCCTCGGCCCGTGTCGCTGAGGGGTCCCTGGTGGGCCTGGGGGTGGGTTGGAGGTCTTGGTGCTGAGCCCAGGCCTGTCCTGGGGGCTCTCATGCTGACCACCCCTCTCCCCTCCCCGACCAGAGCTGAAGATCCCGGACAACGCCAACGTGTTCTATGCCATGAACTCTGCCGCCAACTATGACTTTGTCCTGAAGAAACGGGCCCTCACCAAGGGGGCCAAGGTCCGGCATGGCGCCAGCTCCACTCTCCCCCGCATGAAGCAGAAGGGACTCAGGATTGCCAAGGGCATCTTCTAGCTGGTCCCTGGCACTGCCCAGCCACAGGGCTGCCCTGCCAGGCTCCAGCAGCCTGGGAAACCAGCG